GTACTGTTGAATCAACACAAAACAGCTTCCACAAAAACATTAAAACACAGAAAACACAGTGAAGACTGACTGTGGATGTTTTCCTTGGCATGTACAGCTAATGTTCTAACGTGTTTAAACACAAATCGTGAAAATCAAATATTTTTAAGTTACTGTGTTAAACAATGGTCATAAAAATACTTGTTTGTGATTGGCCGGGACAGTAGATGTCAGTAAGGTTTGTATAAAAGGCCAACATCATTCTGAAATCAGTGTGTGTGAGCTGCTGGATTGCCATAGCAACAATACTCAGAATTACAAAGCTTACTCTTAATAAACTAAAGAGGGTTAAACTGATAAAGTAAATAACAACTAAAGAACTATATACACACAAAAACAGAAACATGTATACAACCATCAATCCATGTACGCCTGCTTCTGTTCTATAAATCTCAATCGTTGTGGAACTGTTCACTATAAACGGATGCAGACATGCCCGCGAGTATCTGTTTGCTTATCAATACGTCTGGCTGCTCCACTGATCATCAGACCAGTTTCACTGACTGTGTCGTGTCTGTGAGGTTCTCCAACAACGCCAGCTGTCATTACACACGACTGTTTCACAGAGCTGCGGCTATTTATAGCTCCAAATCAGTTTAAACAAAAACTGAACATTATAACCTTCATGAAGGAGGATTCATTTCAGGACTGTTGGATTAGACTGCATTAGATTTAGCTACTAATAAACTGACAAATGGGTGTAAATGAGTCATCCTTATTTAATAGTGGAGTCAGGAACACAGTGAAGACGTAAAACTCACTTCACTGAAAAATGATTTTTACACTTAATTTTCCAAAATATAAAAATGATGATGTGACTTTTGTTGGGTCTTGTACCAAAACAGCATGTTCCTTTCCATCTGGAGATTATGATCCGCAGCACCACAACGTTTCATTTATGGCATGTTGTGACACATTTCATCTTTATCCAGAGAAACTGCAGCTCCTGTGACTTGGATTTTGCACTTGGCCGTATTGTGTTTTCAATTAATATTGCAATTAATTGTTCAGCCCTGAAGTCAAGTGATATAGATTCTCCACAGCCTGTAAAATCAGTCGCCAGGTGTGTTGCGTGCTCCCAGCAGGAACAGGAGTTTCACCACGAGCAGTCGCTTACTTTACATTGGGACACTCGTCGCACACCGTCTCCTGGGTCATCTGGAAGCGTCCAGGTCCGAGCTGCGTCGTCCTCATTTCCTGTCTGCAGTTGCACTTCCTCTTGCCAGGAGCCTCTTTAGCTACAGGCTTGTTACGCACAACCTGTATGATGGATCAACAAGCTCTGCAGTGTGAGAACTTAAATGATCTGAAATGAAGTCTTTCATTCACACACACACAATTGTAACTAATTACATTTTTGTGTTATAATAATTGTTGATTCAGAGAACTGGATTTTCTCCTTACCTCCACAAAGTTCCCAGAGTACACCTCTTCCAGCGTGACCTCCAGGTCTAGTATTATGTCATTTCCTCTGGGAATGTTCCTGTCCTGTTGCTGTCGGTTGCCTCCAAACATGAACCCAAAATCCCCAAAGAAGCTACAGAGGGAGGGAGGGAGGGAGTGACATCAGTAGACTCACATATGATCTCTCAAAATGTGGGCAAATGTGACCAAATTGTCTGCAGGGCTAGATGTTTGAATTTGCTTTTGTCTTTTGGGTGGACCAGCCCTTTAAGTTGACCTTACATTAGACATTTAGCTGCTATAGTGAACTCTCCCACTGCCCGTCAGTCCTGTAGAAAACCACCTGATCTAATGACACCAACCTGGAGAAGATGTCGTTGTGTGAGCTGTGGTGACCTTCTTTGAGCCCATCTTCTCCGTACGCGTCATATTGTTTCCTCTTCTCCTCATCCGAGAGCACCTACAATTAAAACACCAGCTTAGTCCCAGAACAACCAAAATCTAAAGCGTTTTTAACTCATTTCAAGCAGCATGTGGAACCAGAACATGACCAAATGCAATTCTATACACGAATATTACCAAACACACCATCGACACCTCTTATACACAGCCTTGCACTTTCCTGACTGACTGCAGAACATCTGCATCCAGAACCTGCTGATATTTAGTGGAATTCATTCTCCCGTCTATCTTTGCATTGTTTCCTGCATCACTGGCTGCTACACAACCACAAAGAATCATGTTTCCACCCCCATGCATTAACATTTGAAGAATGTTTCTTTTTTTAATCTAGTCTCTTTGCTGAACTTCAAAATTCAACAAAATGTGTAATTTGGACAAACTTTTACATACAACTGTAGAAGTGTAAGTCATACTGAATTTTACTATATTGTCACTTATTATTTGTTTATAAAACAGCTGTCACTTATGAGTAACCCATGGTTGTAATGTATGTGAAGTACTAAGTAACTAAGTAGGTAGGTAGGTAGGTAGGTAGGTAGGGCACTTTATTAATCCCATAGGGAAATTGCCCTGTTGCAGCAGGCGCTTCACATAAATCACAAAAACAATGAGGCAGATAAATAACAATCAATGCAATAAATGCTAAAGTCTGCACAATAACTAAATATACTAAATAAAATATAAATATAAATAGAGACTATAACCCATATATACTGCACGATGGTGGAAATATAATGCACTATACTACACTGTATAATAGTACATACACACTTAAAATGCCTTTATAACAGCTGATAACTACATTATACTGTTTTTATTAAACGTTTACATACTGCTAACAAATATTTAAATGAAGTGTCACACTGACATTTAAATAGTTTATAAATCCACTCCCACAGATCCACGTCTGGCTTTACTGAGTGCCAGCTGAGCAGCGCAACAGCCAATCAGATGCAGCCACACAGTCTAGTCGACCAATCACAGCGGCAGTACCGTTTCTAACAACAACCAAATAGCCAGCGTACAAAAGACTTTTGTATCGGTGCTGTTTTCCAAACAAAAGCTGCAACACGGTTTCCTGTCAGTTAAGTAAATACAAAGATCTTTCTAAGGGAAAATAAACGACCCCTCCTTCTCTTATCACTGACACCAACACAACAACGACAGCTACAGATTACACCCACCTCATAAGCTGCACCAAGGTCTGCAAACTTGTCTTGAGCTTTTGGGTCGTCCTGGTTTCGGTCCGGGTGTAACTGGAGAGCCAGCTTTCTGTAGGCCTTCTTGATGTCCCTGACTGATGCGCTCTTGCTCACCCCCAAGATCTTGTAGAAATCTCGCCTACATGAAAGATGGAAGATGACAGAGGTTACGCAGAGGCACCTGGAGCTGTAGCTAACACTGCTGTTACTTTTAGCCAGCCATCTGCACGCTGTGGGCTATAATTTGAGCCCAGATTTTTAGCCTAAACATGTTTACACTGGAAAATTAACTACGCCGAATTCACCATTAGCAGTTCCTGTTTGCTACGTGTCATTGAATGAACAGCTAACTATCACTGAGTTGCTTTTATGCTGAAGAAAACTTTAAACTGTGCCGATTCTCAGGCAAGTTCCGGAGGAACTAAGGACCATAGCTAGCTACAGCCGGTTTAGTTTCTACTGCTTTGAAGGCTAGCATGCTAAGCTAGCTAGTCATCCAAAACTATGAGCTGAATGTAAACGTTAAATCAGATAACAACAAAACAGGATTGCTTATTAGCCAGTAGCTCGGTGTGTCAGGCTGCTCCACACATGTAGAACAGGTTTAGACCAATCACAGTGAAACATGTGTACCAGCTGGCGATGCTGTTTCACCGCTGTGTCCGAGCACAGACACACTTACCCCGCAAACACCGCCGTGATGACATACAGGAGTAAACAGCACACATTGCACAGATTCATCCCTTTGGCAGCCATAAGTCAGATCCACAGTATTTCTAAAAGGGAGCAGCGAAAAAGACAGCCGGCTTTTGAAGGTTGGATCCCGCTGCCAGTCCAGTCACAAGCCTTCTTCCTCCTGTCAGGGAAAGCCCTCCCACTGGATGTCTGTAAGCCCGCCTCTCGGTCGAAGCCCCGCCCACCTTTAAAGAAACACCTCTCGTCCTTTCTTTGAATATCGCATGAGATATGATGTCGGCCCACAGCGCAGGCTGATGCCGCGTTCACGTCATATCGATTACATCGTAATTATGACTAGCCGAGTGAGGGAAAAACGTTGACGTCAGCTTCCGGGTTGTCATTCCCGAGTCGGGGACATCAGGAATTTCTGGCACCAACAGTAGCTCCAAGTCATGGACGGATTAGGACACAATGGGCTCTTGGGCACAGACATGTCGAAGCCCACCCAAGAGGCTCCTACATTTACAGTTACATTTATTTTTAACATTTATTAGCAGATTTATTCACATTCAATTAAAAACAGTAAGGCACCCAAAGTGAAAACAGGAGTATTGTTTGCAGTTGTTTTGTGTCTTTGTGGTTGCTTGGAATCTCTTTGAGGTAATTTTGTGTTTTTGTGGTAATTTTGAGCATCTTGGAAGTTTTTACATGCCTCTTTGTGGTTGTTTTGCATCACTTTGTGTTCATTTTGCATTTTGTGGTTGTTTCACGTCTTTTGTTTCACGTCTTTTTTTTTAAAAAATATACATTTATATTGAAAGCGAAAAAATGAAAGTGATTGAAAAAAATTTTTCTATCTAGCTGTACATAACATTTGGTTTAACGGTCATTAGTTATCAGTTGTTGGAATAAAGCCGAAGTTTCTGTTTGTGAAAATCACAAAAATCACAAAAAATAAAATAAAATAAATAAATAAACAAATAAAATAACACCTAAATAATAAGATAAAACAAAACTGTTAAATTTGCTAACACTTACCATGGCTAACTACTTTGGAATAATGCGTGAACACTCCCCAGTTTGAATTAGCAGTGTGGTGGCCGTTCTTCTCATTTTGCCGACATGACTTGAATGCAGCTTAAAGCGCGCCTCCGAGTGCTGCGCGCAACAGATGTCACATCAGGTCTGAGCGCAGAGGAGGCGCCAAATAGGAAGAGCTGCAGATGTGAGTCTGACTCCCCGGTCCTCCGCTAACCGCTACAAACCGCATCGACAGGACTCATCTTCTCGTCACTTATGTTGGACTCGACCCGCGGATCCAGCTGCTGCCGGGACGAGGACAAAGGCTGAAAGTAAGAACCAACCAACCGCAGTTCTGTCTCCTTTGCTAGCCTCTGCGGCTAACGGCTGCTAAGTTAACGCTGGAGGGAATACTGTTGTAAAGTTAACTTTGACAGGAAACAACGATTCTCCCGCCGTCAGCTGCCTTTTATATACATAAATACATAAACATAGTTAATGTTTTTACTATTTTATTTTCTGTGTGACTGTTGTTTGAGCTGAGAGCAGCTTAGTTAGCCAAACTTTTTATTATGATGCCAAGTCAGGTGTTGATGACATTAACAGCAGCTGTTGTCATGGGAGCGTCACAGCGTCACGTATGTTACAGGAAGTGTTTGCAACCTGTTAAACATATAACGAGATGTAAACGACTTTTTGTTATTATCACGGCTGTGTACTTGTGTTTTCAGCCACCTTATAGCTGGTTGTTGAGAAAGGCTGCTGCTTATACTGAAGATACTCTTGTATATCAATGTATTATGTATTCAACTTCCACATCTTTTCTGTTTCCCTTCTCTTTAGACATGGAGGCAGACAGTGTGAGCATATGGCCACGCATGGAGCCCTTCTTACTGGGCGCCCTGCAGGTGAATATACTTTTACCTACTATTGAATGTAATGATTTTATCCAGTGGATGTAAATAACTGGGGTTAATGCCATTGCAGGTGGCCCCCTCCTCCAAACTCAGCTTGCACTATCTTCGCAAGATGGCGACTTATGTGCGAACGCGGGACGGCTGCTTCCCCATTCTGGGCTGGCCCATGTGGAGGCATATTGCCTGTGGAAAGCTACAGCTCCCAGAAGACCTTGCATGGCTCTACTTTGAGACCTTTGACATCCTCGTAGGTCACACCCCAGAGGAGAGGCTGGAGTGGGCAGAGTTTCTTTCCCAGTGCTCGTCCAAAAGCGAGCTGGACCAACAAAGGAACAAGGTGAATAATGGCTCAGTGTACCTAAGATTGTAATCCTATCTCATCGTCCCAGTTCACCTTTTTGTATCACGTCTTCCTCCTTCATGCGGGTGTGGTGCTCATTGCCCCAGGCAGAGGTTTATGTTGTAACAGGTGCTTTCAGATGTGAGCAGGAGCTACTCATTGATATGTGACCCTGGTTTCTTCTCTTTTTCCTCCAGTTGTCTGTGGACACACTGCAGTTCCTCCTCTTCCTCTACATCCAGCAGCTGAACCGTGTGTCTCTGCGCACCTCCCTGATCGGTGAAGAGTGGCCCAGTCATCATCGTACCCGCTCCCCCTCTCCATCAGACCGAGAGGCCAAGACCAGCTCTCAGAACAAGGTCCCTGTTACTGTGAAGGACAAAAGACAGACTGATATCATTGTTGCATGTTTGGCATTGTTCTGTACTTCTGATTACTAACTGCCACCCAGTGAAAAGTTTAAAGCCCAATTGCTGTTGTCCTCTGATGTGCCACTCATAGTGTTTTTTCTTTATTTGTGTTTGGTCCGGCAGAACTGGGACGATCAGGCCCACCTGTCATTTGTCCAAAGCCATCTAGCTGAGATTCTGGAGCTGCTGGTGGAGCCAGGACAGCTGTCACAGTCTGGACAGGCCCTGAGAGACTGCCAGGTCTGAGCACACATCCTGCCTGAAAACTTACAGCAGCTATAATAGATATTTTAACAAGAACAGTCCGTCAAATGTAAAGTGGTCGCTCATAGAGATGAATCTACAGAGTTTTATAGTGAGTGTTAGCTCATTGTTCAGCGCAGATTTAATGAGAAGCCTCTGGGAGTAAAGAATACTGCGACGTCTAATCTCCATTACCTCAAAAGCAAAGCATGTGTTACTTTTTAATCTCTGCTTAAAGAATAGCTATTGTATGTTTTGTAGATACAATCATCTGTGTTTTGACTGAGATAAACTTCTAAAACAAACTATTCAAACATTTCATGCACTGTGTCTGACTTTGTTATCTTTTATCAGATATCGCTGGATGCTGTGCGGAGCCTGGGTCTGCTCCTGGAGGGCTCGGTTTGTCGTGGCAAAGCCGTTCAGCCCGTCCACAGACTGCTGACCAAAGGTCCGCTCCAGACACAAGCTGGCTACTCCACACTCAGCTGCTCATTCCCCCTGCACAAGCTTCTCTTGTGTCTCCAGCACAGCCTCACACTCAACCCCTTCGGGATAACCGCCTGCCTGCACTCAGGCAAGAAGCTAGCCTGGGCTCAACAAGGTATCCTGTGTATGCTAAGTGTGTCGGCACAGTCATCCCTCTCTCTCTACCTGTCTGTCTGCATTTTTTTTGACAGTGTGTGTTTGTGCATTGTAGTGGAGGGGGCCATGAAGAGAGCCAAAATAGCAAGGAACACCCACATGGCTCCACCTGGCAGTAAGATGGTGCTAATGTCCCAAGTCTTCAAACAGACTCTGGCTAAAACCTCGGACAGGCTGACCGGGGCCAACATCAAGATCCACAGATGCTCAGATGCATTCATATACCTCCTCTCACCTCTCAGGTAAGTTCAGCTTCTATTAATATAACCTGTGTTTTTGGGAAACAGTTCGTCTGTCACGGTTTTTGTTGCTCCTCCAGATCCGTCAGCCTGGACAAATGCCGTGACAGCACCGTGGTTCTGGGTCCCGTCGAGACCAGCGTCCACATCCACGGCTGCCAGAATGTGCGGGTGGTGTGCGTAGCCGGCAGGATCGCTGTCGGAGCCTCCTCGCGTTGCACCCTCCACGCCTTGACACCCACCCGCCCCTTGCTCCTACCTGGAAACACAGACATTACACTGGGACCCTTCCACACTTTCTACCCCTCCCTGGAGGATCACATGGCCAGCGTGGGGCTGGCTGTGGTCCCCAATGCCTGGGATCGACCCCTGCTCCTGGGGACCGAGGGCATCGTCAACCCCTCACTCAACGCGTCGTCCAACCCGGACCCCGCCTGCTACCGCCTGCTGCCCCCGGCTGAGTTCCACACGCTGGTTGTGCCTTTCCAGATGGAGGGCGACACGTGTGAAGTGCCCGGCGGTCTGCCTCCTCCGTACCAGGCAGCGCTCGATGAAAAGCAGAAGAGAATCCAGAACTGGCAGAAGACTGTGACGGAGGCTCGGCTGAACAAGTGAGTCACAAATCAAACACTTAATCACACCATCATTAATGAGTGGAACCATTTGATCTAATAGAACTTAAACACCTGGGGCCGGTTGCACAAAACACCTTAAGTTAAGATTTCCCGTAAAGTCTGAGGTAAGGTTTCCTTAGAATAAAAACACTCACACAAAACACCTTTAAGTTTCATCCTCAGTGTTCACTTAAGTGTTTAAGGTTTTCTTCTTATCTTAGTCTTCTTAGGATCACTTAAAGTCAGTTAAGCTGTTGCACAAAAGACCTTAGCAATCAAAGGAAGGAAGGTACGTCAGACTCTGTTTTAACTGCAACTTGGCCGAGTTCATGGTGATAGATAAAGAAAATGAATCACTTCTCAGGAAGAGTTCCTCGACCGGGACACACCCTGAACGATGCAGTAGAGTTTTACTACTGTAAATCCCTTAACTTTTTGACTAAGGAAACCTTTTAAGAGGTTCTGTGCAACACCCTTAAGCATCTCCCTCGGCTAAGGAGACGGTAAACCTTAAGTGCCATACTTTAGTAGAAAACTCAACGAGCACACTTAACTTAAGTGTTCAGTTTCTTTTGGGAAGCTGGTAACATTTAATGAATGCACGTGGAACTTGGTCATGTTGTGGCCGAGACAGAGTCAGACGCACAATAAGTTTTTTTCCTTAGTTTAACTGACTTTAAGTGTAAGACCAAGATTAGGAGAAAACCTTAAACACTTAAGTGAACATTTTAAGGGAACCTTAAGGAGAAGACTTAAGGGTCTTTTGTGCAACCTGTTTTTATTTCAAGGAACCCTTAACTCAGACTTTAAGTAAACTCTTAACTTAAGGTGTTTTGTGCAACTGGCGCCTGATCATCAATGCATGTGTAAAAATAAGTTTTATTATTCCATCATCCGGCGCTGTTTTAATGAGTGGAAAGTTATAACGGAACAGTCATTCTAGAAATCAATCAGAATGTGAGTCAGTCACTCAGCTGGGGAGATATGATGGAGTCTAGTGGAGGCATTAGTGTCAGAAAACTGGCTGCAGGGGCTGTAACTCCACCTGACCCTGACAGCACAGGAACAGCAGGGATTGATTTCTATATTAGGATATTTTAACACTAATCTCTCTCTTCCACGTCCCGCCCTGCTCCTGCTGTGTAGTTTCCCTCTGTTGTTTGTCTGTAGTAACTGATTTCTCGTGTTTGTCCTGAAGGGAGCAGAAGCGTCAGTTCCAGGAGTTGGTGGAAGCCAAGTTCCACGAGTGGCTTCTGGAAACGGGGAACAGGCAGGAACTGGACAGCCTCATCCCAACCACGATAGCCTCTTTAAAGGACTCCAACGGGCCTGCGACGGACACGCCCCGGGTTAACGACACCAAACACATGAGGAACGGACGGCCAGTGAGACAGTCACCCATGGCTTGTTGAATTGTTGGGTCTCATAAATTAGTGCAGCACGACGGTACGAACACACAGTCTGAATATAGTATTACTGACATTTACTGACATTACTGCAAGTATTACTGTACAGTTCGTTTGTGGGTTGATTACGACTCACTCTGACAAGTCTGGAGCTGTTGATCCAGACTTGCACAGCAACTTATGTCCCACTCATTCTGGAGTGTGGCGCTGGCATCGGCTGCTTGACTGTTCCTGCTTAAGAAAAGGCAGCTATTGTTATTCTTACTGTGTCGAAGGCGAGTGGGGAGTGGATTGGCATGTTGTAAAACCACATCTTTAATGGGAGGTGTAGACTTATAGAAACACACAGGTCTGTGAAGTCACCACCAACTTTTAAAGGGACACATTTTTGAAAAAGCTTGGATTTGGGTTTTACTGCTTAATGAAATGTTTTGGACACAGACAATTTAGAAGGTTGGAGAGTCTGAGGAGTGACGAGGCTGAGAGATCTGTCAGACAGGCCCTAAGATATTTTCTCTCAATGTAATAATAATTCTCCAAACCTGCATTAAGGTACATAAAGAAAATCCTGTGTAAACTCTAATGTTTCTACAGGAATTACAGGAACATTAACTTGCAGCACTTGTGACCATGGGGGTTTCAGCTTTAGAGGAAGCTGTGGCTCATTGTTGTGAGTGCTGTCTGAAGCGTCACCATTTTCTCTCAAACTCTGCCCACATGTAAAAACTACCTGCTAATTACAGTAAAAAATAAATTAAAAAATCATTTAGGGAAGTGAACATACGTGCATTTAAAGATGGAGAATGTAGATGTTTAATAAATGCAGCACTTTGGGTATTAAGGTCACAGTTACTGGCTCAGGACGTAGTATTTTTCTGTGTTATTACAATATGAAAAATTAGCAAAGAAGCATTTTTCCATTACGGAGGAAACGAAGGAATATTAACATTATTTTTTTTGGGACTAACTGCAACGTCCAAACGTAGACGGGAAGTCAAATTCAGCACTTTGGGTGTGAAGGTCGTGTTAGTGCACCTAGGGTTACTGGTTCAGGACGTAGTCGAGGGGAAGTCAACAACAGTGTAGCTCCAACAACCTGTAGCTACAACAACCTGTTCTCCACGCTCTGAATCTCTCAAGCATGTTGTGTGTTTTGGCCACACCTCGGGTGTAGGTATCACTGTCTGTGTTTCCATCTGTCCAAAGGAAATATTTGCTCTGGCATCACTGACTCTGATGTGGCCACAGGTACAACATGAAAGCACAGCAGCAGATTTTCCTGCTCTGTGATTTATTGCAGACTTTTCCTTTAATTTAACAAACTTCGGTCAGTTTGCAGAACAGTCGCTAAATATGTTTATTTTTGTATGAATTCACCTGTATAAATATGTATATTTGAGCTTTTTAGTGAGAATATTTTTCATAAATCGACATTTCCTCCAGGGCCATTTTTAACCTTTAACACCTCCCTCCCTTCTACTAATTACAGCACGCATCAACAGAGCTGCTGCATGTGTCGTCAAGGCAGCGTTTTATAATTAGCTACAGGAAGATGAGTGAAGTTGCACTTAATAAAAACGTGTCGTTAAAATATTATTTCACATTAAAAAATCTAAATGCTGGAATGTGTTTCTTCACTTTCATGATGAAAAGTGGTTACACTTTAAAACGCCTTACTGCTGTCCCTTACTTTGAAAACTTACCCTTAGATTTAAACACACACACACACACACACACACACACACACACACACACACACACACACACACCTCTATGACGCCTTTACTATTTGAAGAGCACAATGTAGTTGTGATTGTTAAAGTAAAATAAATAAAGTTACGTCCTTCTTATTGGTTTGATGTTTTGATTCTGTTTTTACCTTCGGACGCAGCAATATGAACCGAACTGAAAGAGAAAGGCATGAATCTTACTTACAAATGGTTCAACTGGTAGTTTTATTTTGTTGACACTGTCGTGAAGGTGTTAATTACATCATATGTGTCAGCACTGAGGTCATATTTAGAGATGGTGTGGTGGACTGCACTATATTCAGATGTGTTTCTAATACTCTGCCCCTTCATTTATACTTTATTTAAACAGGAAGTCACGTTGAGATCGAGATCTCACTTACAAGTGAGAACTGACAACAGAAAAAGAAATATCAGCATTAGCATATTAACTATGAATTCAGATTTGTATTTACATAAACAAACATTAGTGTAAATAAACCACTGTTTATGGGAAAGTGGAACGTCAGCTTTGGATTTGTAAACAGTAACTGCTTAATTGTAACCATGGCGATTCTTCCTCAGGCTCAGATTCAGATTTATCCATGATGTCATTGCTGTGTGACCACTGAGCAACGCTCACCCTTGGCTTTTGCACATGCAGTACACACAGGTCAAACGTGCGGTCTGGACTTCCTGACAAATGCATTTCCTGGGTATGACATCGCAGTGGTTAGGATGAAAAAAAAGTGGGGGGATGGGAGGCTTGTCAAAGGGGGTTCAACGACACCAGAGGACTAATAATAAAATAAAAATATTAATTAATAAAATTTCCTTTTATGGCCCAAAATCGTTTGTAGTTTCAGTCGTTAACGACACAGAAACGGCACAAAAGTAAATAGTAAATGAACTATGTGAATCCTTGTGCACATGTGAATGTAGCTGAACAACCTGCAAGCGTCTGCAAAATGTAGTTAAACTACTAATTTAAATACATGTAGTTCACGTCTCTCCAACACTGCAGATATGTATTTATATCAACGATCAGTGTTTATTTAAATGCATTTAAATGTGCATTGAAATACACAACCAGGTAGACAATAAGATGACAAATTATAAATGCATTGTGTAAGACAGTTAAAGAGAAGTATGTAAATACAATGCAGTCGAGTCCATCACCACATTTAACTGTGACTTCATTAATAAATTTATAATTGAATTGACACGTTTCCAAAAATGTCAAGAAAAACTGAACATTATAAACTTTGTAAAGATTGAATTAATGGCAGCGCTGTTGTATTGAATTGCATTCGTTTGTCCAGGTGTACCTAATAAAGTGGCCACTGAGTGGATAATGTGATGCATTTATAATCACAAGTCGGAAATATATCAAATAACTGAAATTAGTTGCAGAATGAACAACTTCAATAGTAAAATGCTGTTTAAAATGGACACAGTAATAATTACCCAATACACAATAAAATATATGTGATGAATGAGACAACACACACACAGCCTTTACTTGAGTGTGTCTGGATTCATCCATAAGGCAGAAATAAGTCATGAGTTGGCAGGTCCTCACCAGGTGGGGGCAAACTGGTGGAGCTGGCATGAGTAACATGGTGCGAGAGGGGGGTGGGTGGCGTGGCGTGGCGGTGGTGGGCACTGGACCCAGCCAGTAGAGAAAGTGGGGGTCAATGGACGCTTACCATGCCCGGCCATTATGCCGTAATCCTTCCTCGCTTTTCTGGAAAAACTGAATAGCACTAGAATCACTGACTCAATTTTTGGATCTCATTTTCATGACAAAGCGATTGTTCCCCTTTTGCCTCCACTGTTGCTGTTTATAAACGTAGGAAAGCTGGGGGGGGGTATAAAAGGACCGGTGAGGGGACATCGCAATATCGAGACCTCAGGGGAACCATCACCACCATCATCACCACCATCACCATCACCACCACCACCATCACTTAACATCACCAGGGCCATCCCACACATTACATCCAAGATGGGCAGGGTGAGTGGAGCCTGGCGTTGACACACGGTCAGGTAACACTGTGGCAGGGAGCAGTGAAGTCAGGCGTCTCTCTGCAGGGATGTTTTCATGTGGTTTACAGGTCAGGACAGTTTCCTGCAGGAGTAGGTGTTGATGACTTTTACTCAGGTGGAGGTTAAAGCTTAAAAAAAATCTTTTTTTAAATCTGCACGAGATCTAAAATGGCCGTGTGTTCTTCCCCAGATCGTCTTCTACGAGGACAAGAACTTCCAGGGCCGCCGCTACGAGTGCGACAGCGACTGCTCAGATTTCCACACCTACCTGAGCCGCTGCAACTCCATCCGCGTGGAGAGCGGGGCCTTGGTGGTGTACGAGAGGCCCAACTACATGGGCTACCAGTACGTCCTGACCAGGGGGGAGTACCCAGAGTACCAGCGCTGGATGGGGCTCAACGACCGCCTCAGCTCCTGCAAGATGATCCACTTTGTAAGTCAGACATGTGTGCAGATGTTTTCATTAACCACCACCTGCACAAACTTAACTGACAGTAAGATCTCTCCTCTGCTGTGAGTCACGAGCTGATGAAAGCTGCAGCGAGCGCACGAGGAAGAGATCACGTCAAACAGATCATGCTTTAGCGCTGATGCTACCAGTGACTGCAGGGCTTTGTCGATGGAGGCCGATACCTGGGTCAGGCTCTGGTCCAGCTGACCCACAGCCTGAGGCGGAAACCACTTTCATACAAAAATCAATATCGTTAGTACAAGCCGCACGTGTCCAGTGTTGTACTATTGCAAAGGGACGAAAAGCAGAATGCAAACACTGAGGGACGGTGTTTGATTAAAGTCGGTTATCTAACTGATGTGGTGGATCCTGCCAGAGTTCACCACGACGCTCGAGACACTGAGATCCATTTACAAGCATTTAATAAGTGGTTTATACCTCCGTGTAGCGCAGCGTCCACAGGTGAAGGTTTATGCTGCTTATAAATGCTAATAAACATATTTTCCTTTTGTTAGATGCAAATCTCATCTCCCTATATATCCCCCCTTCCCCTTTTCTCTCACCCCACATTCCATTCCCATTCTTCCCCACCCCCCTGCACTAACTCCCACCTCCACCACTCTCCACCCGTCCTCTATTTTAACCGTCTACTACCTGCTCCCCTGCTGTCTGCCTCTCTTCTCCACCCCTCCCTCCCGTCACTCTCCAGACCAGTGGGACCCTGTACAAGATGCAGCTCTATGAGAAGGCAGACTTCGGGGGCCAGGCCTTCGAGGCCACAGAGGACTGCCCCTCCCTCCTGGAGAAGTTCCGCTGGCGGGAGGTCAACTCCTGCAAGGTCTTCGACGGCTGGTGGGTTTTCTACGAGCACCCCAACTACCGCGGGCGCCAGTACTTCCTGGAGAAGGGGGAGTACCGCAAGCCTGGCGACTGGGGTGCCATCAACCCCACAGTCCAGTCCTTCAGGCGCTTCACTGAATGATTCACCCTCCATCCAAAAACATGTCAAGACTTGCTATGATCCATGTCAGGGCACTTTGAGTCTCTGGACTCTGATTTTCTGAGGTCTCACAAATAAAAACCTGTCCAGCAAGCTGACTGACGTTTAAAGAGTCCTTTAATGTCTCATTGTGTGTCCTCGCATTCTTAAGACATCCACACTGCAGCGCTCAGTAACAACTACATCTGGTCTGAGGTCAGTTAATCTGCATCATCCAGGAGGGAGGATAAAGTCACTGATTTGGGGATAGAAACACTTTCATCCCAGCGCAGGTCTGAGGTCCACGGTGACGGGCCGAGGGTTGACATGAGTCCCGAAGGAGAAACAGTTCCCTCCCCCTCCCATCAGGACCAGCTCAGGTTCTTCTAAGTCTGTCGGCTCCGAGCAGAAAGAGTGGAGCATCAGAGGCCAGGGCACCGAGGTCTGCAGAGGAGCACAGGGATTTATTAATCAGCATCATGTCGAACACAAACACAAACACACGGTGTGTCCATCGGCTCCAGTTCAAGGTAACTGACCGTGTCCAGTCTGAGCTCCACGCTGCTCCGCGTGCTGAGGTCGATCACCACGACGCCCGGCACGCCGTCTGAATGCAGCCAAACTCCGCCCACCACCACCAGCTTCTCACCAATCACATGGGCAGAGTGAGAGTATCTAAAACAAACATCACATGACATCAGACCTTATGAACCGTGTTTCAGTTTCAGGGCGGCGTCTGGATGTTGTGAAGTTTTTGTCACAGACCTGGGAACAGGAGGGGGCTGCACCTCTATCCTTTCCCAGGAGAAGCCTCTGTCTGTGGGCCTTAATACGACCGTGTCCCCCAACAGGACCCCCCATCTGTCCAGGCCTCCGAACGCCACCACACCTCCCTGATATGGACAGGCTGAGTGCGAGTGGCGGGCCTCTGGAGCTGCACCCTCTACTGGGATCTGTAAGTCACACACAACAAACACAAACACACACACACACGCGCACACACACACACACCTCAGTGCTCTCGCTGTGGGACATTAAAGCCTCATTAATGTAGAGATCATATGAACAGGGCAAACCTCGGTCCAGTGCTGCTGGTCAAGACACAGGAAGTGGGCGTCACCCAGAGCGGCCTGTGATTCATTCTTTCCACCAAACACAAACAGGAAGTCTTTCCCTGCAGAGGAAAAAAAGGAGAAGGTTGGTGAGGATGAAAAAAGAAGAAAGATAAAGAAAGAAATCACGGAATCGTCCTCTGTTATCTCACCTTTATGACTGACGTTGGTAGCGGTGTGCCTCCATCTTGGCGGCGGTGGGTCACCCGTACAGACCATCTGCTCAGCACACAGTCTCACTGCATCTCTGTCCTCCGGGTCTCCAGGACCCGGCGCACCACAGGGGTCCAGGGTTACTCTGAAAAGGCTTGTGATTGGGTTGAGAGGAGAGGAGCGGCCTCCGTAGACCACAACACCTCCTCCGGGACGAGGCGTGGCGGTGTGGTAGAGCCGGACACCTGCAGGAGGACGACACGACAACCAGCTGTTGTTGAAAAATCTGCTTCTCTGAATCGGTGATTTTCTACAGAGCTGGTGGTCCTCACCCAGATCTACTGACGGCTCCACGCTGACGGAGCTCCAGCCTCCCCGGCCTCGGAGGAGGAGTCTAGTCACTGCCCCCCTGCCTCCTCTGCTGGAGCCTCCTGTTAGCAGGACCTGCCCTGGACTCAGCAAGGTGGAGGCCATCCCCAGCCCCTCCATACAGACTGGGAGAGTCTTCACACTCAGGGCTGCAGGGCTCCACGACGGGCTCATGGACGGCACCGGAGACACTGAGGAAAAAGAAGGAAATACATTCTCAGACTCGAAAACAAAAGAGTTTTAAAGACGTCAAGTTGACGTTACGGAAGGTGAAGGCGGGAGCTACCTGCAGGACGTGTGAGTAACGCCTGAGCTGTGAAGGAGCCTCGAGACGCAGTGAGGACGAAGTAGTGGGAACATTTCTGATGCCACTCCTGAGGATGGACAGACACACGGACTGTGAAGTGTCTCTGTCTGAAATTATCACTTTAAAGCACCTTTGTGTTTTTATACAGAAACTGTAGAACAACACATTTCACACAAGAGAAGAAGAGATTTGCATTCTGTCAATTGTTTATTTACATGTTATAATGTTTACATACAACACATGAACTTTTTGACGATGCTATAGTGATGTTAACGGGTCCTAGTGCTAGAATACAGGAGGACATGTTTCTGTTATTTACAACAGGTGATGGTTTTCAGTGTCTCCTGGAAACACTTCTGTTGTGTTGTGAATATTAGCAGCTCATGTGTCGCCATGTGTTTGAGCTCTCAGGGCTGCCGTAGATAGTGTCATAAAGCACCTTTTTGCATGTATCAGTAAAAAACTTTTTAAGGAAACGTTAAAACTTTAATAAGATGCAGAGAAGTCTGGAAAACCTCGGACTGACACAAGCTAAAAGCAGGAATACAACAAGTCGGTACCGGAGCAGGCGGAGGTGTAACCATGGAAGAACCTCCTGCTGTGATGTTGTGATCGACCTTGTGTGTCCACTGGGTTTTCACAATAAAGTTAGATTCAATCCAAAATAAGATGCTTTTCAGACTCAGCTCACCTCATATTCATCAAAAGGCTCCAGGACCTCCACTCTGCTCCTCTCCTCCTCAGGGACCAGCCCCAGGTAGAAGTCGTTCATGTCCAGACACACACACTGCTCCCAGCCCTGAACACACAAGCACAGGCACCACACATCAGTTAGTTAAACCTGTCCTCTACACTCTAACAGTTATAATGTGTATATATATATATATATATATATATATATATAGGCGGCGTCTGGGTACTGTCGCAGGGCGTGCAGGGTTGAGTTTAGTTTCAGGAAATGATCCTGCATGACCCGACCGAAGGGGTCGTGTGGACGGATCTGCTCGTACATTACGAAGAGAGACTGAGGAAGGAGCTTTGCCGCCCAGCTAATGACGACATCTGACTGCACCTGGTAAGACACACGACACCACACACAGCGCGGATGATCCTGAGTATTTGTCTAGATGTTGTGATCCTGTGATGAAAACACACGCTGATGAAGTCCTCGTTCTCGTTTACAGATGTGTTTACCATTGTGTTTCTCATGTAGGTGAGCACCCCCTCAGAGAGAATTAGAGTCGGAGCAGCCCAGTCCAACCCGGCTGCACCCAGAGCCTCCTCCACTGGGACTCCTCTCTGATATCCAGCCCAGCAGACGGTAACTGACACTGGACACGTAAACAGGTCTGAACACTACACAGACAACACACACACACACACAACACACACACACGAGCTGATAAAAATCTAACATCACTCGAATAACAAGTGGTTGTTTCAGGCTGGATTTCTTGAACAGAGAAAGTGCGGCTGACATCACAGACCTGTAGGAGAAGGTAAATGGGGGTCTAACCATCCCCCTCAGTGTGATGTTAGAAGTGATGAGGGCGGTCTTTCGCCGAGCGACATCTGGGAAATCCACCTCGAACACAACAGCTCTGTGAAGCCGCTTCGTCTGCGTGCAGGCGAAAATACAACGAGTCGAACCCGGCGCCCAACGACAGAATCTAGAGAAAGGGGGAAAGACGACGACAGAGGAGGAGGTGACGGATTTCTTCAGAGTGAAAACCCCTCCAACAACACAGTGACAGTGACTGTGAACTCACCTGCCTCCTGGGGCAGTTTTCAGTGATCTGTAGAAACCTCGTTCACACAGTGATCACACGGCTCTCCAGCGCACGTAGTAACCCCTGAAGCACACGACTGAAGGGGTCTGATATGTACAACCTTATTTTTCTACTTCATTTGAATGGCCAAGAGGAGAGAAAGCCCAGACAGACAGTATACATATCACTTATTAACATTTTATTACCTGTCACTGTCTGACCCACAGTATAAGCCCAGGTAGGATTAGTCAGTTAGGACAAGTTAATCACAGTTTTAATGATCATTAATCATCTGTAAGCTAGACAGCACTGCTGTTGTTGTGTGTGCTAGATTGTGTAAGATTGATTTAATCCTTTAACTTAGAATCACTTCTTTAAGTCTTTAATGAACCTGTTGATGTTAAGACTGGTTTTGCTTGGTCGATTTTTGTTTCATGGGATTTTATGAACCAAAATCGGATAGATA